GGGAGGGGGCGGCCGGCGGCGAGTTGGGAAAGTTTGTGCCGAGCGCTGATTGGCCGGGGGCGGAGCCCTGGGGCCGCGGGCCGGGCCGCTCGGGCCTCGCGCGCGGTTTCGGAGAAGGGTCGCTCCCACCCCGCCCTAGCACCCGGGGGTTCCAAGCCGGTTCCTCCCAGCAGGCCCCTCGAAGGGGATCTCAGCCTCGCTCAGACGTCCAGCCCCCACGCAGGCCCGGAATGCGGGAGGCAATTTCACACCAAATCCCTTCTCCCTCAGGCCCCAAGGGGGGTTCCAGCCTCACCCCGAAAGCTCACCCTCCTACCTGCCTCAGCCCCCCACAGAGGGTCCCAGCCGCACCCCCAAAGCCTTCCCTGCAGGTCCTACCTTAAACCTCACCCCAGGTCCCCAAATGGAGTTCCCAGTTTCACCCCCAACCTTCAGCTCTCCGTCCACATCCCAGAATTGAGGGTCCTGGCCCCAGACTCTCTCCACGGACCCCAAAGCACGCTTTTCACTTTCCCCCCAACGCTTGACCTTCAAATAAAAAGACCCGCCTCCTCCCACCCCCATACACACACACCTGGTCCCCAGCCCCAGTCCCAGATCTTCATCAAATGGGGGAGTCTGACCCTGCCCCCGCAGCAGGGTGGCTCCGGGAGGGAAGGGCTGGATTCTGCCATTGCCAGGGTGAGTCAGAGGCCCCCCTCCCCGTGTCGGGACCCCCCAGCATGAAGAGGCCCCCAGGGGGCCAGTGAGCTTCTGTGCACTTGGACAAGCACAGACAGGCATGATGTGAGGTGCTTCCCTGGGAGGAACCCAAGGGCGTCTCCGGGGCCCTGAACTACCCCTTACCCCTTGTCAAAGAGGGAGACTCGGGCAGGGCCTCCCTCCCAGCCTCTCACTCCTCAGACAAAGAGTCTCTGTGTCCCTGGAGAGGAGGGGGTGGGGCCCCATCAGGGAGAACGGGGGCTCCCCGGGGGGGAGGGAGGAGAGGGCTTCTCCCTAAATGGCTCCTCCTCCCTTCCCCAGGGACATCTGAGGCTGAGACTTCTCCGACGAAAAGACTCTCACGAAGTTCCTGCCCTGCCCTGCCTTGCTGGGAAGTCCTTCCTGTAGCCTAACCCTTTGAGAGGACCCTTCTGGTCCTAGACTCTGCCTTCCTCTCTCACTCTCTCCCTTCGATGGGAGATTCTTCCCCCAGAATGGAGACAGGCATTCCCCCACACTCACAGAAACACTCTCCATTCCTGAATAATTTACAGTCACTACCAAAATTAAAACTTTAAAGCACAGTCAGGAGGGTGGTGGCTGAAGAGAAGGGATTTGGGGCAGGTGAAGAAATGAGAGTGCAGAGAGATTAAGGGGCTCCCTCCAACTTCCCCTGCAGGGTCAGTCAAGAAGCAGGGACTCCTGGGGCCCCTCAGCCTGGCAAAGGGGGAGCAGATGAGGGCGGACGGCGGGGTCAGGTGCTGCCCAGCAGAGGTCACGCGTCCAGGCAGGGGATCAACATGGCCGCCTTGCCCCGGACTGTGCTGATCTCAGGCTGCTCCTCGGGAATCGGTCTGGAGCTCGCGGTGCAGCTGGCCCATGACCCCCAAAAGCGCTACCAGGGTAAGGGACCCGAGGTGGAGCCTGGATGGCAGGGTGGGCATGGCTGCCCCAGTGCTGTCTGCGTTATTTCAGCTGCATTTGTGGCTTGGGGAGGACCCAGGACAGGATGCTCAGGGTCTTCCGCGAACCATCCCCTCATCCAGCAAATATTTCTTGAGCACCTACCAAGTGTGAGGCATTGCTCCGGGTGCTGGAAAGAGAACTAGGGACAAAATAGACAAAAATCTCAACCCTGGGTAGTGGTGCGGTGGGGGAGGGGAGAGAGTTCAGACAACGAACAGATAGGAAGAAATTCTGGTGTGTCTGGGGGAATAAGGACTGGGAATGGAAAGCAAACTGGGGGCGGGGAAAGGGGAGAGTGGGTGACGTTGTTGGAAAGGCTGGACTGGGGTAGCTTCTCTGTGGAGGTTTCACCTGGACACTTCCCTGGATGGAATAACCACCTCCCTGACACTAGCCCTCCTCCTCCCCCAGATTATGCTTCCAGATAAGCCTCTTAGTGCTCCTGACCTTGGGACTTGGAAGGGGCCCTCTGGCATAGAGAATGGCCTTCCTGCCGCTGAAGTCAACCGCCCAACCCGTACCCTAACCAGCCCTGAGAACCCCTGACCCAGAGCAGGATAGAGTCAAAGTGGGCAAAGAGTTGTTGCTTAAGAGGAGACTATGGGGTGAGGGCATTGCCTCAGCTGGAGAGCTTCTTTCCCCAGCCTCTGCCCTCTGACTTAGAGACACACACAGGCTTGAATGTGAGAGCCTGAATGCCGTGTGCAGGGAAGAGCTTGTGACACTGTGGGCAGGCAGATGGGTGTGTGAAACCGCCAGGCCAGGCGCGGTGGCTCACACCTGCAATCCCAGCACTTTGGGAGGCTGAGGCAGGAGGACTGCTTGAGCCCAGGAGCTTGAGATCACCTAGGCAACATAGCAAGACCCTATCTGTACAAAAAATTTAAAAATTAGCCAGATGTGTTGTGTGCATGTATAGTCCCAGCTACTCTGGAGGCTGAGGTGGGAGGATGGCCTGAGCCCAGGAGGTCGAGACTACAGTGTGCTATGATCACACCACTGCACTCCAGCCTAGGTAACAGAGCAGGACTCTGTATCTAAAAAAACAAGGAAAAAAAAAACTGCTCAGCCAATTGTGGTGGATTATGTTTGTAATTTCAACACTTTGGGAGGCTGTATTAAAGCACCATTTGAGGCCAGGAGTTCAAGGCTGCAGTGGGCTATGAACACACCACTGTGCTCCAGCCTGGGCAACAGTGCAAGATCCTCTCTTTTAAAAAAAAGAGAAAATAGACGGGCTCGGTGGCTCAGCCTGTAATCCCGCGCCTTTGGGAGGCTGAGGTGAGTGGATTGCCTAAGCCTGCGGGTTCGAGACCCGCCTGGGCAGCGAGACCTCATCTCTACAATAAATCAAAAAATCAGCCGGGCATGGTAGCGCATGCCTGTAATTCCGGCTACTCAGAAGGCTGAGGAGGAAGGATCACCGGAGCCCAGCAGGTCGAGGCTGCGGTGGCCGGGAGCGGCCACTGCACTCCAGTCTGGGTGACAGAGTGAGACTCCAACTCAAAAAAAAATAAAATTAAAAAATTAAAAAAAAGAAAAAACATGCTCGGCCAGTTGTGATGGCTCACGACTGTAATCCCAGCACTTTGGGAGGCCAAAGTGGGAGGATGACTTGACACCAGGAGTGGGAAGCAACATAGCAAGATTCTCTCCCTATAAAAAAATGAAAAAATTAGCTGGGCATGGTGGAATGTGCCTGTAGTTCCAGCTACTTAGGAGGCTAGACAGGAGATTGCCTGAGCCCAGAAATTCGAGGCTGGAGTGAGGTATGATTGTGTCACTTATTCCAGCCTGGGTGACAAGAGTGAGACTGTCTCTAAAGTAAAAAAAGAAAAAAGAAAACTGATGGCAATGTGGATATTCATATGCTCCCTGTGGGTGCGTGTGCATTTTTTCCCAAGGTGATCTGTTTTATGTTTCTGTATTTTATTGTCTTACCTCTAGACTATAAATTCAGTGAAGACAGAGACTTTGTTTATCTAATTTCATACCATAGTCTCAGCACCCAGAATAAGTCGTAATGTGTGGTAGGTATACAATACACATTTGGAGGGTTTTTTTGTTTTTGTTTTTTGTTTTTGTTTTGCTTTGTTTTTGAGTCAGAGTCTCACTCTGTCACCCAGGCTGCAGTGGAGTGGCACAATCATGGCTCACCGCAGCCTTGACCTCCTGGTTTCAAGTGATACTCCTGTCTCAGCTTCCCAGTAGCTGTGACTACAGGTGCATGCCACCACACCTGGCTAATCCTTTTTTGAAAAATATTTTGTAGACCAGGCGTGGTGGCTCATGCCTGTAATCCTAACACTTTGGGAGGCGGAGGCGAGAGGATTGCCTGAGTCCAGAGGTTTGAGACCAACCTGGGCAATGTACCAGGATCTCATCCCTACAATAAATCAAAAAATTAACTGGGTGCAGTGGTGCACACCTGTGGTTCCAGCTACTTGGAAGACTGAGGTGGAAGGATCACTTGAACCCAGCAGGTCGAGGCTGTGGTGGCCATGAGCGTGCCACTGCACTCCAGCCTAGGTGACAGAGCTAGACTCTGACTCAAAAAAAAGAAAAAAGAAAAATATTTTGTAGAGACAAGATCTCACTAGGTTGTCCAACTCCTGGGCTCAAGCAATCCTCCCGCCTTGACCTCCCAAAATGCCACCGTCCCCAGGCTCGTTTCCTGGATTGATGACTGGAAGGATGGCTTAGGCAAGCGTGCGTATGCAACCGTGCATTTGCTACCTGGGAGATAAAGGTAAGTCTCCAGCCCTCTGGGGCAGCTCAGGCAAGATCACAGAAATGTGGAGTCCCACACACAGGGGACAGCAGCCCGGGGCCTTTCTCAGCTCTGCTCTCTGCCCACAGTGGTGGCCACCATGAGGGACCTGAGGAAGAAGGAGGCACTGGAGACTGCTGCCGGGGAGGCTCTGGGACAGACCCTCACCGTGGCCCAGCTGGACGTATGCAGCGACGAGTCGGTGGCCCAGTGTCTCAGCTGCATCCAGGGAGGGGAAGTGGACGTGCTGGGTGAGACTTGGCCGCCCCCGGTCGCTCGCCCTCACCCGGGTCTAAGGCTGGACCCCCCAGCCTGGCGGGATCTGAGCACCAACCCTCTGACCCTGGACAGAAGGGGTAGACCAGTTGGCCAAGAGCCTGGAATACCAGTCAGTTTATCAGCAACAGTAGAAATGAAGTAGACAGGCATGGTAGCTCATGTCTGTCATCCCAGCACTTTGGGAGGCCAAGGTGGGAGGACTGCTTGAGCCCAGGAGTTCAAAACCAGCCTGAGCAATGTAGCAAGACCCTTGTCTCTAATTAAAAAAAAAAAAAAAAAGAGGAAACAGAAAACAAACTGAGGTCTGTGGGTGGGTGGATTTTATGGAATAGAAATTCCCACACAAAGAGAAAACCATATGTGGCTGGGAAATTACTCTGATGAGTCACTTGGGGACAGGAGAATGATGAAGAGACAGCTCCCAGCCCCAAACCTCTGGAGGGGGGCGGGTGTGGGTGTCAGAGCTAAATTGCTGGTGCATTAAGCGGATGCTGTTCCCAGTGCCCCCCCCCGCCCAGAGCTAAACTGCCCACCCAAATGCTAGATTGTGCTTAAAGATCAAGGGTCTGGGCTTGGTGGCTCATGCCTGTAGTCCCAGCAGTTTGGGAGGCCGAGGTGGGAAGATCACTTGAGCCCAGGAGTTCAAGACCAGCCTGGGCAACATAGCAAGATCTCACCTCTACAAAAAATGAAAAAATCAGCCAGGCATGGTTGTGCACACCTATAGTCCCAGCTACTCAGGGGGCTGAGGCAGGAGGATCACCTGAGCCCGGAAGGTCAAGGCTGCCGTGAGCCATGATTATGCCACTGCACTCCAGCCTGGGTGACAGAGTGAGACTCCAACTCAAAAAAAAAAAAGATCATCAACCAAGATACCCTGGACTGGCCCCAGACTTGGAGCAGGTGTGGAGTGATTCAGAGAAAGTCTCAAAGTGACACTAGAAGGTTGGGGGCTTCAAGGTAACCCTCAGTACCCCTTCCCTCAGTGAATAATGCTGGAGTGGGCCTGCTGGGGCCCCTGGAGGGGCTCAGCCTAGCTGCCATGCAGAATGTCTTTGACACCAACTTTTTCGGAGCTGTCCGTCTGGTCAAAGCTGTGCTTCCAGGCATGAAGAGGAGGCGGCAGGGCCACATTGTGGTGGTCAGCAGTGTCATGGGCCTGCAGGGTGAGCTGTGGGGATCCACCCCTGGCAATATTCCCCGTGTCTGACCCGCCCCTGACCGAAGGATGGCAAGCAGGTTTGAGATCATATTCCAAATGGGCCTGGAGAGCTGTGTTGAGAAGGATTCTGAAACTCAGGAGGAAAAAGTTCTGGGGAAGATTAACTATGTCTGTCCCGGTGGAAGAGTAGGCAGTAATGGTACACAGACCATTCACAGCCATTAACGTCCCCAGCATCAGCCCCGCTTTGGACACCTCCAAAAATTTCTCCCAAGCATCCCCCCCAAGCCCAAAGGAACCATCAGAACCCCTCCCTCGCCTCCTCCTTGCCAAACACCTCCCTCCGGGCCACAGAGATGCCTGAACTCTGAGGTGCGGCAGAGAAGAGCAATGAGTGATTAGTGATGTCTGCTGTGGGCCTACAGTGGGGGCCACCTGCTTGCCATCCCCATGCCTGGGTCTTTCCTCTTCAAGCTCTCTAGACTCCCTTCACCCCCCCCCCCCCCCCC